CCTCTGCCCCTCCTTTCCCAAATTTGCAGCCCTCGAGCAGGCTTGCAATTGAACTACAGCTGGTCCAGCGGTTGGCAATTTTCATTTGAAGCATTTGGCGTTTCCTGAAGCCCGTACAGTACTGGGTACCACTTCGGTGGGAAGGTAACAGCGCTCCTTGTGAGGTCATGCTGGCCACATGACCACAGAAATGTCTTCGGACGGTGCTGGCTCAGCGGCCTCGAAAACAGAGATGAGCAACACCCCCTAAAGTCTGTAGAGATTCTCAGTCATCCAGTTGTCCACCCTGATCTGGATGATTGAGAATCTCTGCAGATTTTTGGCTACGCAATTTGGGATGGACACCCTTGGAACGGTGTGGGAGTAGGAATGGATTTCCAGAAAGAAAATAATTACGGACTACAGAAACCATTTGCACCACTCAGGTGACCCTGAGGACACAGATAAACCTCCAAGTGCTTCAAAGACTCTAAAAGGATGCAAATGACCAGCTGTCTGCAAGGAATATAAATCCTTCCATTCCCCACTATCCCTCTTAGAACTGAAGAAGCCTCTTGGATGAGAAGTGAAACATCTTCAAAAGGAAAAACAAGGAAGTCCAGTTGCCTCCTGAAAAAGCACCTTTGGCGCACCCCTTAAAATCAGCAACAACTGGCAGAGTAAAATCCACAGGGACACCTTTACCTTACCTTTTAAATTTATAACAAGGTATCCGAAAGGTAAGGGATGTGGGGGCTCAGTGGCTAAGATGCTGAGCTTACCGATCAGAAAGGTTGGCAGTTTGGCGGTTCGAATCCCTAGTGCCGCGTAACAGAGTGCGCTCCCGTGACTTGTCCTACCTTCTGCCAACCTAGCAGTTCGAAAGCATGTAAAAAAAATGCAAGTAGAAAAATAGAAACCACCTTTGGTGGGAAGGGAACAGTGTTCTGTGCGCCTTCNATCTATCTATCATCTGACATCTATTATCTATTGTCTATTTTCCATCCATCCATCCATCCATCCATCATCTATATCTGTCATCTATTATCTATCATGTATTCTGTCTGTCTATCTGTCTATCTATTTATCTGTTATCTATTATCTATCATGTATTCTTTCTTTCTGCCTGCCTGCCTGCCTGCCTGCCTGCCTGTCTCTGTCTGTCTGTCTATCGCATGCATGCATGCATGCATGCATTTGTAATAGCCTCCAAGCAAACAGGGTAACGTAATATATAATGATCAGATGGCAAAGATATTTTTCCCATCGTTTGAATACAGTACACGATGACACACTTCCTTAGCTAAAAGCAGCCCAAGACATGTGAGCAGCAGACAGGGCTTTGTTGCACATACCGTAGCAGTCAGTCCCTTTAGAGTCGGAACGCACTTCAAACACGTAATTTGCAGGGTATCGGCGGTATTGCAACAATGATAGATCAAATAGCCTCGCCTTTGAATAGACAGTTTATGGCCTTAATGCAGTATTTCAGAATCAATGCTGTTTTGTTGGCTTTGCGTACGTCAGTTTCTAGAACACCCTGATACTTTTGCATTTGTCACTTAAATGGACAAATTCAACCGGAGATAAAATGCTGTTAGTTCCAGTCTGCGGTAATTGGATTTTTGATATATTTATTTAATGTAGACGTTTGCCAATGAATTGGATTTTCAGATTGATTTTTTTTAATGCTGAAGAAAAAGAGCATCATAGAGAGAGAGAGAGAAAAAAAACAACAGTTTCATTTTTTTTTTAAAAAAAATGTACGAAAAAGTCTCCATCTGTAATTGTTTGCTTCCTTATCTCGTGCGCCACACTTTAGTCTAAAAAGCTTTTCAGCACAACAGAGGAAGAAATTGATTTCCAGTCATTTTTAATGACCAAGCAACTAATCGTGTCCCATAACATATGTTCCCCGGCCTTTCTGCAGCAGGCCAATGGCAGGACAATAGTAAGTCAGTGTGCAGGACAATAACTTTTAATTAATTCCGTTATCTGAGATGTAGAAGCCGTAGATGGGAATAACTCTGGACTTCTCTGTGAGTACTGTACTTTGTGAGTGCAGATATTTGTTTAAAGGTCAGCTGCACATTAGGTAGGACACCCAGTGACACAGCAGGATGGGGGATATTAATCTTGTGCCCCTGCTATTTTTACCGTACAAATCTTACCTTTTCAAACCAGCTGTTTGCCCTACTGAAGGATGTGGAATCTCTCTGGCTTTTGTTTTTAAACAAAGTTGTTTTAAAGTTATTTATAACAAAAAGAGCCGAGGTGGCGCAGTGGTTAAGTGCAGCACTGCAGGCNTTGAGTCATGCCGGCCACATGACCACGGAGACGTCTTCGGGCAGCACTGGCTCTTCAGCTTTGAAACAGAGATGAGCAGCGCCCCCTAGATTCGGGAACGACTAGCATATATGTTCAAGGGGAACCTTTACCTTTTATCTGAAAGCTGCTTTTTCGAAAGGCAAACTGGACTTCATCAAGGTGTTTTAAAGATTGTGGGTAGGACGTTTGCCTGCCTGCCTCTCCCCGAGAATATTTTGTTTTTATGACCCGATTTCTGGGCCTATTTCTATTTCAATACCTACGCCTATTTCTGTGCCATCCCTCTTGCCAAGGGGACTCTAGGATGCTTACAGTCAAAAGTATGGATTTTGTGTAGTCGTTCCGTTTGGAAGCAGCAGCTGCACCACTGCCCAAATTATTGTGGTAGCTTAAAAACTGTGCAGCCCTGTGTATTTTTGAATAGTATAATATAGTTTTGTTCTTGTATAGTACAGCCTTGCACTAGCCAGTTGTGATGGGATTGTATTTACGTGAGAACCGATTCGTGGTTTTGTTTGTACTGGCTGTCCCAAAAGTGCTTTTTTCCGAAAGGGAACTGGGCTTTGTTATTTTTTTCCTTGAAGACATTTCGCTTCTTCTCTAGGAAGCTTCTTCAGTTCTGACTGAACGGTGGACGATGGAAGGATTTATATTCCTTGCAGTTGTCTGATCGTTGGAGGGAATAGAAATGGCAAGGAACAGGCACTTTGGACTGCAAGGACTAATAAATCCTTCCATCCTCCACCATTCAGTCAGAGCGGAAGAATCTTCCTGGATGAGAAGTGAAACATCTTCAAGGAAAAAAAATAACATCCAGTTGGCTTCCGAAAACGCCCCTTTGGGACAACCATGGCCTGGATGACTGAGAATCTCTCTAGATCATTCTGTGTAATGTATTGATTTTATATTGGTGAGAACAGCTTGCTACCTAAGGAAACTCATCAAAGTTTATTGCCTTTGGAGAAAATGCTTTTTCGTACTTCTCTTGATAGCCAGGTTNGGTTGACTCAGCCTTCCATCCTTCCGAGGTGGGTAAAATGAGGACCCAGATTGTTGGGGACAATATGCTGACTCTCTGTAAAACCGCTTAGAGAGGGCTGAAAGCCCTATGAAGCGGTATATAAGTCTACTGCTATTGCTATTGCTAAATTAAAATGAAAACAAATTAAAATGAAAACAAATTAGAATTAAAAGCAAAAGGCTGAATTTTAAAATCAGCGTTGTCCCAACTGTTACTAATACGTTTAATACATCCATTATCATGATCTCTACATGACTTCTTTCATTGCAGTTTGGAAATTCGGCACTATGAAAAACAAACAGACGCTAGGAAAGGTGGTTTAGCTGCCATCCTTAAAAAAAAATTAGAAAGCTGCTGATCTGTCATTCAAAAATTTTTTGCACGGTTGATGAGTTTTTCTATGTTTGGACGGTTATGGTTTCCTGACGCTAACTGGTTGAAAGTGGAAGGCTGTTTGTATTCATGCCCCAAAAGTGTTTTGCTTTTTTTGAAGAGGAAACTGGGTTTTTCGTTGAAGACGTTTCGCTTCTCCTCCAAGAAGTTTCTTCGGCTCTTTCTGCACCATTCATCTCAAAATGCATTGCTAAACGTCTATGGGGTTTGTCAGTCATCCAGGTCATTCAAAGAAAAAACCAGAAAGTCCAGTTGCCTCTTGAAAAAATCACCTTTGGGACAACCATGACTCGGATGACTGGGAATCCCCATAAATACCTGTATTCATGTTAATTCATGTGCAGAGGGTTGATTATGGTAGGATTTTGAAAGCTTTTGGTCACTCTGAAGCTGAAGAGTCAAGTCCTTCATTCCCAAAATATTTAGATTGATGGTAATCACTTCCCATATGTCTGACGAATCCAATTTTAGTTACCTAGGATTCTGATAGAGAGTGGATCCACCGAGTACATAGCAGAGATGAGCTTAGTATTGTGCCATCCAGTTCGCCAGCTTCTGTTCCTCCTTTGATTGATGATGTTTAAATTTTTGTACAATTGACAGCAGCTATATGAACAGTCAAAGCGCATATTGGTGAAGAGAGCGAATCTTTGGAAAGGTAGATAAAATATATACAGTCGCGGTGAGAAATTAAGCATGGCAGCCATTCTGATCTCACGATTTAAACAAAAGAAGTAAAAATTTCTCAACTCACTCTGTTTTAAGTTGTTTTTTATTGCCCAACAAACTCTAGAAAGATGCTATACATGAAAGCTGGATGGGTGATATTGGGCCGATCACCAGAAGACAGTGAGTTCTAGTTCCTCCTTAGGTGTGAAAGTGGCTGGATAACTTTGGACCAATCACCAGGAGGCAATGAGTTCTAGTTCCTCCTTAGGCTTGAAAGTGGCTGGATAACTTTGGACCAATCATCAGGAGACAGTGAGTTCTAGTTCCCGCTTTAGGCTTTAAAGTGGCTGGGTGACGTTGGGTCAATCACCAGGCGATTGCAAATTCTAGTCCCATCTTAGGTATGAAAGCCAACTGGGTGACTTTGGGCCAGTCCCTCTTTTTCACCCGAGTTCACATCAAGAGTTGTGGTTCTTGTGGGGAAAACAGGACGAGGAAGGAGTATTAGGTATACCAGCTGCCTCGAATTATTTATAAAAACAATCAAGGGAAGATATAAAGAAATAAAAAGAAAATGCTAACACTTCCACTGTTTTTTTCTCTCTTGCAGTGATCGAAGAGGGATTTTGGGAGAACGGGCTTTCATACGAATGCAGGACGCTGCTTTTCAAGGCAATCCACAACCTGTTGGAAAGGTGAGTGTGTTCGATGATGGCTTTGTTAATGTTGCTTTGGATTTCCGATTTGCATTTAGTAATCTGACACACAGTTTGCTTCAGGGGAAGGTGCAGAAGATTCCTCTTTTCAATGAGATAAGGAAAAGCAACACTATTGTGGCCTGCCAGCGGCCAGCAGATTCGGGCAGTGAGGAGATTGAGGAGGAAGATGGGCCAGTCCTGGAATCTGGGGAAGGCTTGGAGGAGGGCTCTGTGTTGGAGGCAGAGAGGGGGCCAGAGCTGTATGCCAGTTATCAGCTGCCTTCAGAGTCAGATATCAATGAGGCAGAGGAACAGCTGGAGCCTGTTCCCAGTGTGCACATGCACAGAGTTGCCAGACGAAGGGAACAGCTAAAGAACAGGAGTCGACTTGGCAGTAAGGCCACGATGAATGGCCTCTCTCAGAGGAAATAAAAGAGGAGCGAAAGGGGAGTGAAGTTTGCAGGAGACAATTCGTTCATTCCTGCATTCTTCCCAAGTATCGCAGCATCTGAAAGATATCGGCCTGGCCATTGTCCAAGCCTGATCAATGTCGGTAATTGTGAACTAACTTGAAAGACTGTGGGAGAGGAAAGACTTTGCTGGAGAGGAATTTACTGTCAATTAAATAAAAGGGGTTTTTCGGGACGAGGACTTGGCTTCGTGGTGCTGGGGAAGCCTAGGTCAGAGCAAACACGCAGAGATGTTTTTTCCTTCTTCTTATTTGTCTATGAGAAAAGATGCTTACTTTGCTAAGACCTTAAAACGAGGAGGAGATTTTGTGGATCACATGAAGGGTTGCCCAGAAGATAAATGTTTGCAAAACTGCAATTAAGGAAGTTTACCAAACTCCCTGCATTCAACACAACAGCAACACACTTTCGCTCTAGCTTCACCCCTCTAGCTTAAAAACACTAAAAATGGGGGAAATAGGAAGGCAGTTGTTGTAAGTAATGGGATACAGATGGTCTTGGCAATCACAGCTGGTTATTTTGTCCCAAAGAAGCATGAGGCAAATGTTTGTCTAAGGCAGAGGTTGTCAAGTCCAACCATGGGAGTCTCCAGCCGTGGCAAATGTGCGATTTGTAGAGTTCAACTTCCAGACATTCTTCGGCCAACCAGCATGGCTGGCTGAAGAATTCTGGGACTTGAAGTCCACCAGTTGTAAAGTTACAACTTGGCAACAGAAATGTTGGGCTCAGTTGTCGTAAGTCAAGGACTGCATTTTTTTTTTCGAGATGGCAGTCTCTTAAATAGGTGAACATGTTTAAATTCTTTATTGCAATATGCTTGATGTCATTGCAAGTGAACTCTGCCCATTGCCGGGAGTTTGATCCTGACCAGCTCAAGGTTGACTCAGCCTGCCATCCTTCTGAAATTGGTAAAATGAAGACCCAGATTGTTGGGGGCAAGAGGCTGGCTCTGTAAACTGCCCAGAGAGTGCTGTAAAGCACTGTAAAGCAGTATATAAGTCTAAGTGCTATTGCTTTTGGGCTAGAGTCATAGAAATGGATGGATGGATGGATGGATGGATGGATGGATGGATGGATGGATGGATGGATGGATGGATGGATGGACAAATGATAGATAGGAGCTGTGAAGGTGCAGTGGTTAGATTGCAGTATTGCAGGCTGGCTCTGCCCACAAGTCAGGAGTTCGATCCTGACCGGCTCAAGATTGACTCAGCCTTCCATCCTTCCAAGATGGGTCAAAGGAGGACCCAGACTGTTGGGGGCAAGAGGCTGACTCTGTAAACCACTTAGAGAGAGCTGGAAAGCACTGTGAAGCAGTATATAAGTCTAAGTGCTATTGCTATTATGAACTCGGACACCTGGAGCAGAGAAGAGGAATACTTTCTAGATCATTTTTTTACCAATAAAGAGATACCTAGATAGATAATAATTTTGCGTGTCAAGGACTAGTTAAAACAATGTAACATAAGCGAATAGTACGCCTCTTTATTTATCCTAGAAAAAAACATAATATCTATTCAGTTCAACTATAGCCTGGGTCTCTGACAAATTCGCTGTTCAATCCCCACCTCCCCACCCTGGTTGGTTTTAAACATGTTTCTGCTTTTAGATGTAGCAGCCAGCCCTTTTTAATCACAAAAATCCAAGATCCCAATTTTTTTCTTTTTCTTTTATTGGCTCCTCATCCTCCAATTCTTTTAGCAATCACCTGGAGTCTTTAAAAGTTAGAGGGATGCATATTTATGTACTTTTGTTCACTTGGAGAACATTCCTAATCTGATAATATTTATATTTGCTTACTCTGAAAAGAACCTGCCAGAAGAAGTAGTAATATAAAAGGAACAGAGTGAATATTTTATGGTTTTTACGACTGCCTTTTTTAGTTGATTATTTTGTTTGCTTATCCGTTGCTGGCCACAATTGAACCCAAAAAATGCTCTGCTAAGTGAGACATTTGTACCATTTTACGACCTTACCTGCCATGGATATTAAGGTGAATCATTGCAGTTGTTAAGTTAGTAACATGGTTGTTAAAGTGAATCTGGAGAAGAGCCTCCTGCTGGGAACGATGGAGGGCAAAAGAAGAAGGGGACGGCAGAGAATGAGGTGGCTGGAGGAAGTCACCGAAGCAGTCGGCGTGAGCTTAAACCGACTCCAGAGGATGGTAGAGGACAGGAAGGCCTGGAGGAATATTGTCCGCTCAGGATTCGACCCACCGAGCTGCTGACCTTCTGATCGAGAAGCTCAGCGTCTTAGCCACTGAGCCACCACGTCCCTGTTACTGTTACTAGGGGCCTGGAAATCCACTATAATTAACAGTCTGGGATTCCTCTTGAAATTTTTCAAAGCGGAAGCTGGATTCCTCATGTCATCTTGATTAAACTTTTTCCATTGTTTGATACAAACATTCATTTCTGGCAAGGACCCATGGTTTTGATTGCTTGCTAATGAACCGTTTCCTCCTTTTGGCTGATATCTCAAAATTTGCCCCCCCCCCCCCCCCCCCTTTTGTGGCTAGTCTTTCTAAACAAGCTACAATATAGACTTCACCAGGAATTAGTAAAACACACCCCAAGTTACTACCGTATTTTTCAGAGTATAAGACGCACCTCTCCCCACTAAAAGAGTGTGGAAATGTTGGTGCATCTTATGCACTGAATACAGCCATTTCCCGAAGCCCCACGCCTGCACCCCATTTGTGTAAAAAATGGGCAAAAAACAGGCTGTTTTTCGCAAAAACAGAGGTTTTTGCCTTCCTCCAGCCCCAGCAGCACTCTGTAGGTTTCAGCAGGTTGGGGGAAGAGAAAAACACCATTTTTGCGAAAAANGGAAGGAGAGAGGGAGGGAGGAGGGAGAGGGAGAGAGGGAGGGAGAGAGGGAGGGAGGAGGGAGAGGGAGGGAGGAAGGAAAGGAAGGTGCACATTCCATTATAGATGGTGATGAGTATATAACTGATTATCCTATGCTAGACACATAGCTGGCTGGCTGGCAGTAGCAGCCCTGTGGGACGATGCATCTATACTGCAACGCCAAGTTGCAAAACCTCCTTCTCATAACTAAAAGCAACTTGACAAATAAGTTAAATCTCATCCAAGTGTGGACTACGCAGCTGGGGAGTCCCATAAATCAACTACCTGCTGACTGAAAGCCCATCCTGCAGCTTCCCTGAATCTCCTACTGTACTAGGCATTTTCGGTTGGATGGCAGAATGACCATAGCTAGCAGGACCAAGATAGCTAGCAGGACCAAGGAAGAGTGGGGGGGGGAAGGGGAGAGACCCTGAGAAGGAGAAGTCTTGCCGTATGCACCTCTACTTGGAATCCGGCTGAAGGGCTATAAATTTACGACAGTATAGACATCGACTTGAAAGAGTTAATTCCATAGGCAGCCAGCTAAATCATCAACGGCCCAATAAATTATGCCCGGGATTAATGAGACGCAGTCATCATTAGTCACGCCTCATCGGCTGCTTAAAGTTCCTCGCTGGAGTTTTATCTCTGGTGCTTCTGTCTGCTGGGCAGCCATATTTCATGGTCTGAAAACAGATGACCCCTCCAGGGTCACCCAACTGAAAGCCCCATTCAACAGCTCCGCCAATATCTCAGCGTGGAAGAGAAAGGTGGAGGTCAAAACAACAGGGAGATACACTCAGCAGCTCAGCTGGAGCCATGCTGGACTAGACAAGGGAACCAAGACCTGCTCCTTCCCCTCTGGGAATCATCTAAGTCTAGGGGAGAGCTTAATTAGATTAGGATATCGGGGGTCATTCTTGTACAACACCAACGGATTTCCCAAGAGATACCTGTGTATGCACAGAATAACGGAGTTGGGAGGGACTTTGGGGTCTTCTAGTCCAACTCCCTGCTCAAGCAGGGAGACCAGGGGTCTCCAACTTTTCGGACCTCAGTGACCGCTAAATGGATCATTTTAAATTCTGTGGACCACTAATATTGTCTGCTTAATGACGGCTGGATGGGCATGGCAAGGTGGTCATGTGACTAGGTGGGTGTGGCCAACTCATGTCAAGAGGCGCCTCGCTCAACTTGCCCCTCCCTTCCCAGCCACTCCTCCCCTGCTCTGCCCAGGCTCCTTAGGGCCCCAACAGGGAGCAGTTGCTGGAGCTGAGCAGCCCCCAGGAGAAAGAGTTGGCAAAACAGCTCAGTTCAAATTGGANTGTGTGTGTGTGTGTGTGTGTGAAAACGTGTATAAAACATGTTCCCCCCCCCCTATGAGCAATAGCAAACCAACACATTATCCCAAGAACAGGAATGTTTAAAGTGGCTAAGATTTCCCGAATAACAGAATTGGAAGGGACTTTAGAGGTCTTCTAGATCAACCCCCTTCTCAAGCAGAAAACCCTGTTCCATTTCAGACAGAAGGTTGTCCAATCTCTTCTTAAAAATCTCCAGTGTTGGAGCATTCACAACTTCTGAAGGCAATATTGTTCCACTGATTAATTGTTCTCACTGTCAGGAAATTTCTCCTTAGTTCTAAGTTGCTTCTCTCCTTGGTTAGTTTCCACCGATTGCTTCTTGTTCTGTCCTCAGGTGCCTTGGAGAATAATTTGACTCCCTCTTCTTTGTGGCAACCTCTGAGATATCGGAACACTGCTATCATGTCTCTCCTGGTCCTTTTTTTTTCATTAAACTAGACATACCCAGTTCCTGCAACCATTCTTCATATGTTTTAGCCTCCAGTCCCCCAACCATCTTTGTTGCTCTTCTCTGCACTCTTTCTAGAGTCTGCACATTTTTTTTACATGGTGGCAACCAAAATTGGATGCAGTATTCCAAGTATGGTCTTACCAAGGTATTATAAAGTGGTATTAACACTTCATGTGATCTTGATTCTATCCTTCTTTTTATGTAGCCTAGAACTGTGTTGGCTTTTTTGGCAGCTGCTGTATACTGCTGCTGTACCCTCATGTTTAAATGGTTAACCTCTGTACATATGTTCATTTTAAGAGAAGTAATGACCAGTCATACATTAGATGAGCAACTGTTCATAATAAGTATCAATGGTGTATCTTACGCAAATTACATTTAAGCTACATATTTAGGAATTGTTCTTATATAGACGATTCACCATGTCTACCCTTCATTTAAGTCCTATTCTCAGTCATCTGCCACACATACACAGATATATAATTGCAAATTACTTGCATTCTTATTTTCTTATCAAGACATTATGACTGAGTCCAAAATACTCACTGGACTATTCTCCTATAAATATTAATTCATATCACAAGTTTTAATGTATGATTTATTTAGGACCCCAAGTATAAACACTATAAAATATTTCTAGCCCTCTGAACTGACTGAATTCTCCTTTAGAAAAACCCTTGGGCTTGTTTATTTTTTCTTTATTTAAAAATATACCATCTTAAATAAATACATTTATTAAAATATACTTTCTTAAATAAATAAACAATACTAGACAGATTACCTCATCCACCACAGACATTATTGAAGCTTTCAGGAAGAAAAAGGCAATTTAGAATATAAAAGAATAACAGAGTTGGAAGGGACCTTGGAGGTCTTCTAGTCTAACCCACAGTTTAGGCAGAAAACCCTCTAACATTTCACAGAAATGGTTATTCAATCTCTTCTTAAAAACTTCGAGTGCTGGAGCATTTACAACTTCTGGAGGCAAGTTGTTCCACTGATTAAGTGTTGTAACTGTCAAGAAATTTCTCCTAAGTTTTAAATTGCTTCTCTCCTTGACTAGTTTCCACCCATTGCTTCTTGTCCTGCCCTCAGGTGCTTTGGAGAATAGCTTGACTTTTCTATGTCACAGCCCTGAGATATTGGAACATGCCTATCATGTCACCCCAGTCCTTCTTTTCATCAAACTAGAAATACCCAATTCCAGCAACCGTTCTTCATATGTTTTCACCTCCTGTCCCCTAATCATCTTTGTTGCTCTTCTCTGCACTTTTTCTAGAGTCTCAACATCTTTATGAAGCAATGAAAATATTTAAGGACATCAGAAATGAATTGGCTCTTCTCTGCTCAATTGTTTGCCAACAACAGATGAAACTGTTGAGGTTGGGAGCAGTGGCTGCTCCTAAGTGGGAGAAAGTGTGTGATAGTTGCATGCAAATAATTTCAGATCTGCTCCCAGATGGAAGGGGACCAGTGGTGGGTTTCAAATTTTTTTCGAACCTACTCTGTGGGTGTGGCCTCCTTTGTGGGAGTGGCTTGCTGGCCATGTGACCTGGTGGGAGTGGCTTGCCGGCCATGTGCGCGCTCTCTCTCTCTCTCTCTCTCCTTCCTTTTGTCTCTCTGTCCCTTTTTCCTTTTTTCCTTTCATCTCCCTCTCACTTTTTCTTTCTTTTTTCCTTTTTTTATTTCTTTCTTTCTTCCTTCCTTTCTCTTTCTCTCTCTGTGTGAATCAGTCTGTGTGTGTGTGTGTGAGTGTGAGTGGTGGGTTTCCAAAATTTTTGAACCTCTTCTGTAGGTGTGGCCTGCTTTCTGGTGGAACCTCTTCTAACCGGTTCGGTAGATTTGACGAACCAGTTCTACCGAACTGGTGCGAACTGGTAGGAACCCACCTCTGAAGGGGACATATGGGTTGTTGCGATAGCAGTGGTTGCAGTGATGTACATGAGTGATTTTGAGTCTGGGCAGATAAATTTACCTGAGTGACTTGTAACTTTCCCTGCCAGCTTCCCCTTTGATTATATTTGTGGGAAGCTGTCAGGGAAGGTCACAATTGGTAATCACATGACTGTGGGGCACTCATAATTGTGAGATGGTTGGCAAGCAGCCAGTTCACAGTCATGTGACTGCAGGGACATTGCAACAGCCAGAATTTCAAGAACCATTTTCAGTATCACTTGTTCAGCACCATTGCAACTTCAAAGGGTTATTTAATGAGTGGTCAGTAAGCAAGGACTACCTATTATTTCTCAGCTTCAGCTTTCCATCCGTCAGCATTGAGATAATAAACTAGTCTGTATTTTCTAACTGTTGGCAATTGAATGATTGTTGGAATAGCCCATGTAGAGCAATTTGAAAGCTTAAAAAAATGCACTACCTTATTTTTCTTTACTCCCTCACAGGGAAAACATCACAGGATGATGTTGCTACATCCTGTAAGATAAGAGGAATAACTCAGACATACCCTGTGATAATGGGGTTCGGTTCGGCCTGTCAACTCTGCAAGCCAATCTGTCACCTTTGACTCCAAATGCTCATTTCCACAGCTTCCGTGAGGAACTTTGAGATGCTCAGACCTGTAGATGAAGTGATGCTCCTGGCTACCAGGAAGAGGTTCTAAGACGTAACTGAGGTTGTTGCTTATAACTATAAGGCCACTGAAAAACAATTCAACAAACCATCAGAAGGCAGGGAAAGCAAATCAGCTAAAAAAATAAATAAAGAATTTAGTAATAACAGATTTTGGTAAGATATAGTTCAGAATTGGTATCTACAAGAGTGACATTTAATAATATTGGAAAGTCACAGTGATCAAAGCTAACCAGTAATTTTAATAAAATCCCAGATTTTAAATTTTGAACCCAACAAAGAAAAGACATGGCTATTTCTAAGACCCCAGAATACCATTCCACTTTCTTAAATGGCTATAAGGAGACTAATATTAAATATATTACAATAAAACTAAGTGAACAAAAGAATCTTAAAGTAAAATTAGTAATGGAAATAGATGACTTCATAATAAAAAATTAAAGGCCTTTAAAATATAGAGGTCTAAGCTAGCTAAACAGTCTATGTACGGTATATTTACTGCTATTGTTACTGGTTGTACTTTTAAAATTGAGTTTTAACTTATTAACTACTCAAAATCACTGCTGTGAAATGGGCAGCTATATTATTTGATTGAAACAAAGGAATATATTAATTAATTAATAGTGTCTGTTTTTTCCCCGAGTTCAACAGTCTTTTCTGGAAGAAAGGCTTTTTAAATCACTGAAAACTATGGAGATTAGCCTCTGAAGAGCCCAATTCTCTCTTTAGTCAGATGTAAATATTCTCCTGTCTTTTAATAACATTGATTTTTTAAAAAAAAAAAATGTTTAAAATTTATAGTTTTTCATTTATAGTTATCTATGTTATGCCACATAATCATTTTTGTAAAATGATCAGCTATAGGAATAAATGAATGAAGTCAGCCTCTTTCCTAGCTGTGCTTTATTTTCCCACAAGAATTAAAAACATATGCAAGAATTTACCTTCTGCTTTTTGATCAGGAATCCAAAATTATTTTGATATTAAAATAGTATAAAGAATGATGGGCAATATATGGAACAGCTGTGCAGTCAATTAAAAAATTAACAACAAACTACAAATTTTGAAGCCACAGCCCAAAACACCGGAAAAAGGAGGGAGGATGAAAGTGGTTTACCTTGCATCTGTGATGCTTTCTATTTATGTAGGTCTTGTGTATCAGCCATAAAAGGAAGATTTTATTTTGCTTATACACCCAGACAATTTGTTTACATTAAGTTTGGCTTGAGACTAGTGAGGATTAAAAAAAAATTGGCCAAAGCTATTTCCTAACTGGACAGAAGCCCAGCTTTCAATAGGCTCTGAAGTGACCAAAAGGAAACCAAGTCCTGTTTATAAAAACAATGTGTTTAATTTCTTAAGTGCACTGTAGAATTAGCATATGTCAATCAGCAGGAAAGGCTCCTTGTAAAATCCTTGCTATCCAAGGATTTTACAAAATCCCATTACTAAGCGAGAACTTCATACTATATTGTAGTAAGGATCAGATGTTTGCAAGTTTGCTACAAATATTAAGACCAAAATAAATATTCAGAAACTTGTTCTGAGATAAATAATATCAGGCTAAAGAAAGGCAAGAATGAATGAAAATGATTTCATCCCTGATGTTTCCAGGTAACTTATCCCAAATTCTGCAGACCTGCTATCAGTTAAGATGGATAATACTGGGTTAGACAGTCAATTATCTTATTCCAAATAAGCTAAACAAGAAGACTGTAGACCTCCCGCCCCCAAATGGAATGCCTGGATATAAATTAACATTTGTTTTTACAGCAAGGATAACTAACTTCCAACTTCTGAATTACGTGAAGCTACCCTCTAGCTAGCTTCTTTTTTTCAAGACCCTTGAAGCCTTTTAAAATTAGTCTACAGAAATTTGATGCAAAACTCTGAAGAAATGATGTTTTAAAAGTATAGTAAAATAGGTGTAATAGGATACTTCTTTTAAAAAGTCAAGTTTCTCAAAACGAATGAGCGTTTTCAGTATTCCTCCCCTGTGTGGTCATCTCAGTGTAGTCTATAGTGTTGTTGTTGGTGGTGATGGTGGAGGAGGAGAAGGAAAGGGAGCAGCAGCAGCAGTTCTATTGCCAAAAGCTGCCTATCCCTATCTTGTGGTATTTGGAAGGAACAATCTAAATAAAGCTTAATGAATCCTTCTGAGATCATCCTCAGAAATATTGGTTTAACAGCAGAGCTGCATACAGGGGGGAAAAAGCTCTTTTTTTGTCCATCACTATTTAGCCATTCATTTACCTAGTATTTTTTAGAAGTCCTTTGGTCATTACTCTAACTTTTAACTGCCAATGATGAGATTGTTCAAATGTTACTTTGTAGACAGAGAATGCATGAAAGAGCTGGAAAACTTACCGTAGACCTTTGCATGTGCTGAGCACCACACTTGATTCACGAATGGCCCTCACTCGACCATGGTAAAAGCAATTATCCTGAGAGGGTGAAAGGAAGTGTCATGAACAAGTATTCTTTCTGATTGCCATGTTTTGACCTTTCCTCTTGCACTTCCTACTTGTGTATTATGTGTTTGTGCTCTTGTCCATGTCTAACACCTACCCTATACCTTGCTCCTGTCTGCAGAGGACTTCTCATGTCATAAAACTGAAGAGATTTTCTATAACCTTTTCTTTTGCCTCAATAGCAAAGTGCTTATACATGAAAATCCCAGATTCTAAATTTGTGTGTGATGTCTGTATCTTCTAAGCTATCCAGTCTGGAAGTGTTCATGAACTTAAAAATGGATATCATCCAGGAGCTGATCTTTCAACTTCTGTCTTCTGCTAAGTGGGATCTGAAAGCTTGTTATCCTCTCAAGCCCTTCCTAAATTCACATGCCAGCTGGATCTTGTCCAGCCGGACCTCTCTTCTGAATTAACTGACTGGAAAAATGTTGACTGGATAGCAGCACTTCAGATGGTGAATTAGGTGGTTTACAAATAAGTGTTCATAATAACAGCTTTTTTCTTCTCTTTACTGTAGTTTCCTAAAAGAGGCTGACTGTGAAAAATTATAATGGCTGTTTGGTTGCGGGTTTTTTTTTTTGCTAGTTTTCATAGTGGGATTCTATGCAGCACAGCTTTATCATTTCACAATATGTTTGTGGTTTTTCATAAGAATACAACTGTAAAATACTAGCTACCCCAGAAGTCAGTAAAAAATTTTCAGCCAGAAAAGTTCCTGTCTTCTCTCCAAAAGTTTTGTTCAATAGAATAATAACTGCATTAGTATATACAATTCTCTCTATATATATCTTAATTTTAAAATAGAAATAGTTTTGCAAATTATTTTCCCTCGCCTGCAAAATACTCTCTCAAAATTTACAAATAAATGAGCGTGTTGAGGATATAAAGAAAATATTTGGCACTCAGGATTGAAATGAAGGGCCCTTGGTCCTGTCTGAACTTAGTTGTTCAACCAAGCTCAGAGGGCACCAAGAACCTTTCAAATGAGGGTATGCATACAAAAGTAAGTGGGGTTACAAAGCATACTGGTCCATAGCCATATTTGATCTAAGTAGTATTTATTGAAAACTACAATTGGTTGGATTTCACAAGACAAAACTAAGACAAAACCAAGGTAACTCTATTATGGCTTAAATCAGTCTGGGAAACCCAGCCATTATGGACAATTTCAGCTCTAAGCTTTATTTTAGTAGGAATGAATAGAGGGAGAGATTGAAAAGATTTCCTATCACCAGAGGGTTAAATAAGCCACGATAGGATCACTTTTATGCCTTTTCATGTCTAACTTTTCATGTAACTCTGACTTGGATCCCTACCAAAGGAGTGAGGAAAGATAAATGAATCTGCACATTATCACATGGCTGCCTATGAGTTCAGCTGCATGGCTGTAGTGGTTGGTTCACTGTTGTTGTGTTTTGTTGTGTTTTTTTTGTTGTTGTTTTATAGTTCAGTCGCACATCAGCATATCACTGCAAGACAGCACTGTATTAGGAACACCAATGAAGTTCATTGCCAATTTTGCATGGAATTTCAAGGACCACACCCACATTGCAAGCTAATTCTATGTAGTTATGGATCACTGCAGTTGTAACAATGCTCTATGGTGCTGTTCATCATTACACTGAACAGTTACACCTAACATTTCAGTAAATTCTATGAAACAATAACTGGTAAATTGTTAATGTGGGATATAGTAGATTGCAAAAGTTTTGCTTTTTAAGATAAAGTCAGTTTGGAAAAGGAATAGAACTTATTTCTATTTTTGCCTTTTCAAGTATTCTGCCTCATCTGAATGGTATTTATATATTGTTGGAGTTTCTATGTTATACTATTCCAAAATGACTCTTGGCAGTAAAGATATAAAAAATACAGTGGGTTATTATATTTAGTCATAAAAAGATAATTTGTTGAAGAAATGAACTGAATAGACTGTTGCAGTTATGAAAACTGTGGCAGCTACTATGATAAATCCCATATCAGATTCTTATTCAATCACTACTTCCATATTACATCATTAGCATTACACTTAGCAATGAACTCATCTCAAAAAAAAGCAAAAGACCAATGAATATTTCTTTATTTACCTCCCCAGCTTTGAATCAGAGTATATTTGAAACTGATCCCGTGATAATTTTTTCTCCAACATTTTTGGGCCTCCAAATCATTTTTTTCAGGGTGCAATCAAGACTTGTTCCTTGTAAAGCCTATCCAAGTTGGAACCAGGGTTGTGTTTTCAAAGGGATTTGTCTCATGAAATTACATTTGATACTCACTGTTTTGTTCAAGCAGATGGTTTGGGCTGTTCCAGTTTTGGTATAATGAGTTTCAGTGTAGTCTGGTGCAAAGAGATCCCTACCAACAAAAATGAAGAAAGAGGGAAGGATGGGGTGGAGGGCGGAGGAGAGGAAAAATAAAATTAATATTATTTGAATATGCATGCACATGGAATCTTGCAACTCTATTTCATCAATAACCAATTGTAACATTTAGAAAAAAGTTGTTAACCAGACTCATGAAAAAAATGGATTAAAGTTGTGACAATGATTAATAGATGTTAATATTATGTGCCAAGAAAAATGGCAAGCTTAAGTAAAACCAGTTTAGCGGGTGAAAAATGTTCTTCTTAAAACTGTGCTGGACATCTGATACTTTGTGGCCAATCTGACACTTCAACAATCTGCATAATGCAATATGAGATGGAAAGAAAAATGTCTTTCTCCACTCCTTTCATACCATTCATAACTCTATAAACATGATTGTTCATGTCATTAAACATCCTCCGATGATTCTTCACCTCTTGAATGCATAGAAAATATTAGAGAAACCTAAATATTTTGCACCCTAAATTGCTCCAGAAAGACTTCAGGTTAACGGATGTGTCATGGAAGCTTTTATCCTCTCATTGTGAGATGCTAACAAATCTAATTTTGCTTTCCCCCTGCTCTTTGTTAATAGAGGTCACTTCATTATGTTGCATCTTCAGACTATGATTAACCAAAACAGACACAAACGGAACTGCAAAATAAGCTCAGATACACCTCCTGTGCTATCAAGGGTCTGGACAACATGCATTTTCAAGAATCAATCATTGTCTTTGCCAATTGTATTACCTGCCTGGGAAATGACATTAGCAATTAGCAAAGAGTGGTCAGTAGAATGGCTGAGTCAAGATTGCTTTGTGGAGTGGTGAAGCTAAATGCAGTTAAACTTTATTTTTATGTCTGATTCTCACTGATCTGCATTTGTTCAGGGTTCAGAAACTGCTTATCTATTGCCCACATAGATGCTTATTCAAGTGTATGCAGATTTGCTACGTTTTCCATATATACACATATATTTATACCCATAACTGAATCTTATTTGAATAGTTTTGCTCTCTTCCGACTCCCAGGTCTCAAACAAATAAAGATGGCTGGATTGCAGCTCAGGCAGTGTAATGCTTTTAAGGGCATTATATCTACAGTACAGTTATATTGTTTATATATTCCTTATATTGTCTTTTTATCACTTCATTTCCCTTTATTGTTCTTTAGCCTATGATGCCATTCTTTAGAACTCTAAAAGAAACAGGAAATATTGGGATTATTTACAACGAACAAACAAAACTGTACCATCTGATTTCTGTCTAGTAACACAAATTTAACATTAGCAATAATCAAACCAAATTTTATGGTGGTATCAAGATGACTAAGTCTATTCCCAGATGAGAGACAACCTCTTTAATATTGTCACCATTTTCCTTTTGCCTAATAAACTAATAAATGTAATTTATTGTAGTTAATTTAGTTTAGCTAATAAACTAAAATGTAATCTCAGAGAAAGAATTTTTATTCAGTATGCCTGGCTTTCTGCAAATAGAGGATTCACTGAGGGTTCTGTAAATCCTAAAACTAGAATTTAGGATAACGTACATTAGACAGTAATATCATCTGTACAAGCTGAATTTAGTCAATATCTGTCAGAAATAGCATGTACATTATGTAGGAATGCATCTTCATCAGGGGCATTTATATGAAACTCCAAAGTAAAAGATTATGTACAATATTTTAAAATCTGAAAAGGGTGAAGTTTAATGCTTAGTTCTAGTCTCTTCTTGTCTTACTACTGTCAATGTAACAATTAAAAAATAAAGCCATCCTTTTCCCCCTAAAGTTACTTTGGAGAAAGAATTTAGGAGAACACGTTTCTACTTCTATAGTACTATCCTTTTACCGGTTATAGAATAAATGTAATAGATCTAATAAAAGCTTGAGGGGGGGAAATAACTCCCCAAATCCTATATTACAAAGATGCCCCACTCAACATTTGGTCCCCTAGTGAAATTATTAGAAGACATTATACCACAATATCTCAAAACCTAAAAGTAATTCCAAAATTCCGGGTCATATAACATGGATCTGCTTGCTGGATGTTAGAATTCAGTAGAAAAATCTAACAGAAGAAAAAAACAAAAAACCAGTTGCAATAAGAAAGAAGGCAAGAGGCTCAAATGATATTTCTGGATTAAGGAGATCCTCCATCTTCCATGTCACCATAGCTACTTTGTCACTGAGCCACTGTCACCCATCATCTTTGTACTTCTTCGCAGATGTCCTGGCTATTTCACTATCCTTCCTCTCCCTGTAATAACTTGGGATTATCAGGAAGCTATTACTTTAATAATACCAAGGATTTACTGCTTTTTGCTCTATCTCCATCCATGATTATCATTAGCATTATCTTTGAGCTCATTTGGCTCACAGCCCTTATCTGAACACATAAAAAATGGATGGACCTTGAAAAAAAGCATTTTGCTGCACTGCATGTTCATTTAATTACTAAACATACTCCAAATGGTATCTGTTTCCTATCCCATCCCATCAGCTCTTATTGATTTCTCATTGGTAGTTGGAAGCCATCCAGGGTCACTATGAGCCAGGTGGTAGATACATTTAATATATGGTAAACGGCCACCAAAATACAGAATTTGGGATATACGAACCAATGTTTAGTGCTAACAAAGCCAATGTATATATGTGAATGTACCTTTAAATCAGTCTACCAATTAAATGAACAAGTCCACATATTTTTCTTAGTAACATTTTAATAGTAGTTTACCACTGCCTTTTTCTTAATGCTGAGGGAGAGATACAGTACACATGGCCTACATTCACCTAATTAAGTTCCATGCCTAAAACTAGAATTTGCACTATTCCAGTTTCTAAAACCACTACATGAAACACCTTTACACACTACACTGATGGTTCTCTAGCAACAGAGCCAGTAATTATTTTATAATGTAAAGCTTACTGTATATACTCGAGTATAAGCCTAGTTTTTCAGCCCACTTTTTGGGCTGAAAAAAGCCGCCTCGGCTTATACTCGAGTCAGTGAAAAATTTGCCCGAAATGGAGGAGAAAAAGGGGCGGGGCCATGCCGCTGGGTGACACTCGTGAATGGCCCGGTGCCCCTGTGAGTTTCCCCTCCCTCTGTGTCAGTTTGCCGCGCAGCGCGCACCGCACCATCCCCCCTCCTCACGTTCTAATGTAATGCAGGGCTGTCTTACGATTCCCCTTCCTCCCCCTCCTGCCGCTCTGCAACGATGTCCCACCTCCTCCTTGTTATGGCAAGCAGCCACATAGCGATGTCCCACCTCCTCTGGTACAGTGATCCAATGATAGGAATCACTGTGCCGTGTGTCATAGGAGGCGGGACATCGCTCCCGCGGCTGCACGGGACATCATCATCACAGCGGGACATCAGCATCATGAGGTGAGTGAAGTATTTCATTGAATACACCGCTAGTTTACTGTTTTTCTTTGAAATAAATATTCAAAAACATTATTGGTATCTATTTTTATCTTTGAAATTTACCGGTAGCTGCTGCATTTCCCACCCTAGGCTTATACTCGAGTCAATAACTTTTCCAGTTTTTTGTGGTAAAATTAGGTGCCTCGGCTTATATTCGGGTCGGCCTATACTCGAGTATATACGGTATGTTAGCTTTTCTCAGCCTCATGCTATGGATACAATACTAACAATTCTTAGCTAGAATGGAAATAAATGAGCAATGCAAACTATACATATCTACCAACTTCATTGGGACTGAGTCTCATACATGTAACTTATCTGAGCATCCTTAGTAACTTTAAACTTTCTCAACAATGACTATTGAGTATGGATTTACAACAAGTCCATTAAAGACCTCCCTGGAACTATTTTTGGTCGTTTCACTATTTATTGATAATCATGAAATGACAACAGATGAATGACTAATTATTTCACTATGACGATGGGTACCGTAGTCTTTTTTTCCCTGAAGAACATGATAAATCCGACATACCTATTTATTTGAAGTCATCCATTTCCTTGATATCTTACCACAAAAATGTCGGTAATGTTAATCTTATGAATCTGTGGCTAATGAGTTTGGAGGAACTACGATCAATGTGGTCTAAGTGTGATGGTATATACTATTTTCCTGAAACACAATGAACCACTTCCTTTTCCCCCCTCCTCTTAACCGAGTTATGTTTGATCTTTGATGTTAGAGTGATGAGTGTACTATTGGAAGGGCTGAAAGACCAGATTAGGGACAATCTATTATCCATCTATAATCTATATGGTTGGTAATGATGTGATGGCACATAATCAATCAATCAATCAAATACAATGATTGATGGTATTTAACAGTCTTCCCCCATCTTCAGGTATTTTGCGGCTTTTATTTATTGTCTATGTATCCTGCATTTTCTTTGAGAGAACGAGATAATGTACACGAGGGTCCCCCTGCATGTAACTGCCACAACAAAAGACACAAAACCACAACTTTTTTGCAGAACAATGAGATAGTACTAGAAAGAAGTGGGTTGCTGCACTAACTGCTCTAATATCCATGTCTCTAACCACTGGGATAAAGACTTGCTTCTTATCCCAAGAACTGTGTGTTACTTTAAAAAGCAATGAACAATGTCCAACATGCTCTTCCCCAAATATTCTGGAGCGGATTTCTCAAAATATCCGGTGGATATCAATTTGTAAAAATTGCAGTAGTATTCTATCTTCTTCCTGTAAAAGATCTGTGAGGAATGTTATGAGGGGCTAGAATTAACCTCAGGATGAAGCCTTTTTCAGAGGTTATATATATGCTATTCCTGACGTTCAAAAAATTAGAATCCTATAAACAGGAGATGGGAAAAAAAGCTAAAAATCACTTTCACAAATAAAGGCGAATACACGTGTCCAATTTGGGTCGGTCAACCGACCAGAGGTTTGGAATTTGGACAAAACCTCTGGTCCCAGTGACTGACCCAGGTTGGATCCTGCAAAAATCACTCTGTTCTTCAGATGACTCCAGATTTTTATAGGAGGAT